CAAATAAGGAGAGCCTGGAGTGAAGTATTTCAAGCCCTAAAAGAAAATAACTTCCAACCTAGACTGTTGTATCCTGCAAAATTATCTTTCAACATTGATAGGGGAATTAGATACTTCCATGACAAAGAACACCTGTGAAATTTCACGCACACCAAACCAGCACTCCAAACAATTCTAAGCAGTATCTTAGAAAAAGGCAAGGAAAGTCACAACTCCATGAGGCTCAACAGAGGGAAGCCACCAGAGAAGGTAAGAAACTAAAGGGAAAGGGGGAAAAAGAAATAAGAACCAACAGCAGTAAAACATCATGACAAGGATGAGTCAATATCTATCAATTACAACTATCAATGTTAATGGCCTCAATTCACCAATCAAAAGAAGTAGACTGACAGAATGGATTAAGAAAAAAACCCCAGCAATATGCTGTATACAAGAAACACACCTAACTGAAAAAGAAATTCATAGACTGAAAGTAAAAAGATGGAAAATGACTCTCCATGTGACAGGAACCAAGAAAAAAGCAGGGGTAGCAATCTTATTTGCAGACAAAGTAGATTTCAAACCAAAACTAATTAAGAGAGACAAAGATGGTCACTAAATCCTTGTGAAGGGAATAATCCAAGAGGAAGAGATGACAATCCTAAATATATATGCACCAAATACAAATGCCCCCAAGTATACAAAACAAATATTAATGGACATGAACAACCAAATAAGCACTAATACAGTTGTAGTGGGGGACCTCAATACCCCCCTATCACAAATAGACAGATCTGGCCGGGGATTTAGCTCAGTGGTTTCACCACCTGCCTGCGCAAGCACAAGGACCTGAGTTCAATCCCTGGTTCCAAAAAAACAAACAAACAAAACAAAACAAAAACAAATAGACAGATCATCTACAGAAAAATTAACAAGGAAATTCTAGAACTGAACCAAGCTATTGAACAAATGGACTTAATAGATATTTACAGAGTGTTTCACCCCACAAAATCAGAATACACATTCTTTTCAGCTGCACATGGGTTATTCTCCAAAATAGACCACATACTAGCTCACAGGACATGTCTAAGTCAATGTAAAAGAACTGAAATTACCCCTTGTATATTATCAGACCATAGTGCAACACAATTGGAGATCAATAACATGAGAAACTGCAAAATTCCCACAAACACATGGAAATTGAATAACACCCTCCTGAACAACCAATGGGTCACAGAGGAAATTAAAGAAGAAA